TGCTGATTACTTTCTGTAGTTTTCTAGTATTTTATGGCCATTGTAGCATCTGTGCAAGAGGCTGTATAGATGCAAATTAGCTCTCACCATAGAATTAGCCTGGATGCTAATGAGTTGCTGCTTCCATGCTAATAACGGATATTTTAGCCAACAGTAACAGGCAGCGCACTGATGCATAATGTCAGGGCCAGAAGTGCGAGTGTGTAGGAGGACTGAAACCGCCTATTCATCCTCCTGGGACACTCATCATCTGGCTTGATTCAGATACCAAAGAGCTCCATTGTTTGACCCCATTCAAACAACACCATTGTACCAAGCGGGTCTGATTGTGCTGCTCTTTGCAAGGCCCGGAGGAACAACCGTGTGTGTGTGGCATGTATATGTTCTTGTCTGTTTGTCTGCGCAGTGTTTTTGGTGGCATTGTGTGTAGTTATTATATGGACGTGTGTGTGTGTGTGTGTGTCTGTTCTGTTTGTGTACGTGCGTGGCATTGTGTGTTTACGTTTCCTGAAGCAGGGGGTTTTCTCTGCTGGTGACAACAATGCACCCACTCATTGAAATGCAGCAGGGCAAATGCAGCCCAACTGTGACCCCGTTTTACTTGTCACTGCTGCCTTTAAAGTAGCTCATGTTCAGAAGCTGAGAGAGAGAGAGAGAGAGAGAGAGAGAGAGAGAGAGAGAGAGAGAATCTGTGAATACTCAGATACTTTTCATAACTGCATGCACCATTTTTGCTGGGAACAATGGAACTCTGGGTTTAATCTCAGAAATGTTTTGCACATAAAGCATGATACATGTGATGATTAAAGCAGAGAACAGATGGGAGTGGGACGTATAATACAGTGGGCTTTGCTTTGCATGTGTCTGTGTTCTGTATGTGAGCATGACCGGTGATTTTCCTTTCCCAGCATCATGTTTCTGGGATCAAAGAACTAAGTCAAAGTGTCCATGCTGTCGGCTGTGTACCAACATATTGGTGAGAAAACATTAATTCTGACAGTGTGAATAACCGCCATCCCCAAAATGTAATCTGAAACAGCTCTGGCTGTTATGTTTAACACCTCTAACTTTCAAATTTAAATAAGTTCAGCGTTCAAGTAGTTCCTGTGGTTCTTTTCAAAACTGATATGGAGCCTTGCTGAGTTGCATGATTCTGAAACAACTTTGGGGGCAATATTGTCATCAGTACATTTTGTGGGATTATTTTGCTGCACCTCACACTTCACGTTCATGGTTCTAGATTGTTCTGTTATGCAGTTTATTTCACCACTTTCTGTAATTTCCTGTTGGGAAAGTTTCTTTTTCTCTTTGATCAGGAAGATTGTAGCTACACGATTGCCTTAATAGCTTCTTCACTCTAAAACCTTAAAGTTGTTCCTTTACTGATTTTGAGATGCACATGCTGTTCTCTGCAACTTCTCATTTTAAATTAGTCAAGTCTGTGTCGGATACAGTTTCTTTCCATACTGTTAGCAGCGTGTTGTCAAACTAGTGTATCCCACCCTCTTTATGGTGTGTGTTTGTGTTTGTATTAGTGTGTGAATATGTGTTTGCATTATCAATGAGTTGCTTAAATGTAAGAAAATATATAAAAATTTCCATCACAGGTTCACAAGTATCATCTACAAGTTCCTTGTTTTGTCTAACAGTCCAAAACCCAAACATATTCAGTTTACAGTGATTATAAACCAAAGAAAAACAGCAAATTCTCACACTGGAGAAATTTGAACCAGGGAATTGTGGGCCTTGATGCATTATAAATACCTTTAAAGGATTAACTGATTATCAGAAAAGTCGACAATTTGTTTTCTGACGAATCAACTGATCGTTCTAGTTTGCATGATTCTCCCTCTGTCATACCATGAGGCTCTTGCACCACTTATAGGCTAAAACTAAAGGTGTTCAGTACTATACTGAACTACACTGAATCACCATTGTCGCTGACGGAGTCAGTAGCTTTAGCAGTGCAGCTCCTCACCGGTGACCAAAAGCAGCGTTGTCAGCTTAGCAGTGAAACTCAGTAGGTTAATTCCTCGTTAAAAGCTCATTAAAAGACTGTGAAAGCCACAGAGACATTCATAATGTGATTACTTTTGCAAATAAGTGGTTCCTGAGCCTTGCCTTGTAAACACTGCTTGTATAGACTCATTTTGCAATGACCTGAATGTAACAGCTTGGATTAGCAACAAACTGGATGGACTACTAAACTGAAGACATGGCGGTATGAATGGTGATGTTTTCTCATAAAGTATCTTACAGCAAACGTGAACAAACTACGTTTTCAGTGAGTATGAATCTTTGATTTTGTTTTGAGTTGTAGTGGCCAAAGTTTTGCTTCCAGTTTTAACCCCTGGCACAATTTAGGTCCTGGTTCAGACGGACCGATGACATGCAAACACATGTGCACACACTGTCTCTCTAAGGGACTCATTGGTGAATGTGTCCCTGAGCAAGACACTTAACCCCCAGTTGCTCCAGAGGTGTGCGACCTCTGACATATATAGCAATTGTAAGTCACTATGGAGAAAAGCGTCAGCTAAATGAATAAATACAATGTAATGTAATGTAGACAAATAAGAAATCTCTCATCCTATACATTTTTAAACATTGCTGTTAACCCAACAGATAACACACAACAGCATTTAGTTTGCAGGGCATGTGTTTCGTATATATTTAGACCCCACATCCCACCTCCTGATAGATGTGGTGTATCTGAATTGTCTGGACTAGCCTCAGTGAAAATGAGTTTGTCTCCAGGTTTGTTCCCTTGAGCTTTGGCCTTAAAGGGAGGCGGTGGCAGGGGAGAGGAAGTCTGAAGGAAAAGTGATAATGAATTGACTTGAGGCCTAGTTTCTATTTTGGTTGGGAATTGGTTTGTGTAAATGGAGTGCGAGTCAGAAACTGCACAGTAAAGACAGGTGGAGGAAGTATTTCAGAAGAAGAATCTCAAAGTCATAAAGTAGAGACACCCTGCCCACGACTGGGTGGAAAGTTTGTCATTACACATGATATGAATTTGGTTCACAAGTTGCACCCTGTTTGCTTTGGGTGCCCAGATGTTACAAAATGTCTCAGTAACAAAACTACAATGGCTGAAACTGAGGTAATTCTATGTCCAACATATATGCATAAGCAAGCAGCGTACATGGCTTGAGGGATGGCTATGTCAGTTAGCCCATCACTTTGGTCCAGACAATATAGAATTATGTTTGGATTGTTTGTACATCCATTCAGTAATATTTTTGTTTTGTCCATTTCTTTTTCCAATTCAGCCTGAGTTGGAGTTGCTAATAAGCAAATGTTAGCATTCTAACACACTAAACTAAGATGTTGAACATGGGAAACATTAAACCTGCAAAACATCAGTGTGTTAGCATTGTCATTGTTAGCGTTTAGCTCAAAGCTCTGCTATGCCTATAAATACAGTCTCACCAACACGTTCTCATCCCAGGGTGTTAAATACCGACGCTTTGAGAAAGACTGACTTAAAGCGTCATTATTTGACACACAAGGTACCTTCATCATGTGAAATGCCTTTAGCTATAAGAAAAGATCATAGTTTTGGTTAGGTTCAGGAGAAGATGATGGTTTTGGTTAGGTTTAGGCACCACTATGACTTTGTTAGGTTTAAGAAAATATCATGTTTTGGGTTGAAATAAGTACATTACCGGGGATGGGTTACATTGGTTACTTGAAACATAACGGCGTCTCATACGGTTGCTGAAGGGTACCTTGTGCTTCAAATACAGATGCTTTGTCAGACTTTCTCAAAGCATCCATATTTTATGCCCTGGGATGAAACCGGGCTAGACTTACAAAGCTGCTTGCATGATTGCAGATCCATAGTCTTATACAGCAACATAGCAAAAGTTTGCCTCTCAAGCATTCATTGTTTTTATATTTTGAGACATTTGCATTGATGATTACTATACATTTGTTTCTTAAACTAAACAAAGGTGGTAGCTAGAAGTGATATATTCTTGAGAGATGCCACAAAAAAATTTGAATGAATTATAAATTATGAAAATGGTTTTCAAATGAACAAAAGGTCTACAGCAGCAATTGAGTGGACCTTGTTGTGTGATTGTTCTAGTCAACTATTGAAAATACAATTCTTATCTTAATATAAAATAGCTCAATCAATCTGATGATAAAACCTGGTAGTGCAACGTAAAAGACAACCAAGAAGAAATGTAATTTCTGGCTACCATCTTTGTTTGGCTGAACAGAGGACTTGCAACTTAGGAAACCTGTTAATAATCTACTCTATTGTGCAGCAGGTGGAATATTTAACATGCAGCTGGAAGTATCTTCAAAACAGCAATAAATGATGTCTAACAACCTGCAGAGTTCAGAATTTTGCTCATATTTGTGGTTCAGAAACACTACAGCATTACTGCAGCTCTGTGACTCAAATATAATCATCAATGTAGAAGTCCCAAGTGTGAAAACTATGATTATAGGAGGTACAGACAGAGCCTCCCACAGTGTCTGAATGTGTCTTCTTCAGAGCAGGTGAGTGTGTTTATCCTGAGCAGTGCCATAGAGACTTTCCGCAGCAGATGACAACACCAGACGTTATCAGCTCTTCTGAGGCCCCCTCAATGTGGGCCAAGTGAAAAAATAGATGGAGCAATCAGTGTGGTCCCATGATTCCTAGTGAGCTGTGAAGGAATGACAAGTATAGCCAGCCTCACACGGCACACACCATGTAACATACACACAAACACACACATTTTCAAAACCTTTTTGCATGTCCTTGCCGGCTCAAAATACAGATTCTAATTATTCCTGTTAATCACAAGTCGCTTCAGACTCGTGGTAGAGAGCCATACTGTGCATATGGACACACAGAAACACACAGGCACACACCACTGACCCTCCCCATACAGTACACACACACATGCGCACACTTACTTACACAAGTGCTCTCCAAACAGCACTCTCACTTCAGCTTTGCACAGGATGTTATGAAATCAGCACTGTTGCTGAAACTTAGTGAAGGTTGCAGGGAGTCCTCTCTCACCCACACACACACATACACACACACAAACTTCACCTGGCACTTGCACACACACACTCGTGCCGAGAGCTGAAGCTCAGCTCAGTCCCAGTCCTCTGCAACTTGAGTGAGGAGCCTGCCGGTGATCGGACTGTCGCCTGAAGCGAAGAGGCCGAGCCGGCGTTGATTCAATTTTACAGCCCAGTCACTCTCTGCAAAGCTCCGATTAGTCAGCCAAGGGAGACGAGGGGGAGAGAAGAAGAAGCACAAGAAGAAGAAGAGGAGTAGTGATGGCTATGACCGACATTGCAGAGGATGACCTGGATGTGATGATGCGCGAAGAAGCGGAGGATGTCTTCTACGAGGACGGTAGGCTTGCCAAGGGTCAGTTTTAAAGTGTGAACGGAGGCGTGGGTTTACAGGTGGGCTGCAGGTTCTGAACCGGCCCCTCGAGGATTACAGTGAGGTCAGACTGGTTGGTTTGTGTCTTGTGGTTATGATCAGGGTTAAGAAGAGGGTAAAAGTGACAGCTGAAAGGTGGCCCAGGGGAACTTGTTCTGCTATGTAGGTGGGGTTGTTTGATGCATGGTTGAGTAGGCTCTGATACACACTGATGCTGAGAAATCACCACCAAAAACAGATTTATCTTACTGAAGAGAGAGAGTGAAAATCAGTAATGCATGCAATGATTGTGATAATTAGTCAGCGTAATGAATTCTCGACTAATTGGAACGTCATTCTTTTCCCCTTTGCAGGAGCTCTGTGCAGTTTGTTTATTGATTTTTCAACTTTTACCCTTTTTAGAAAGCTGAGAGGAGCCGTGCCCTCTGCAGCGTGGGCGTTCTTGTATAACAGGCAGATGTTTTTAACCAAGCATTACGCACCACAAGAAAAAAAAAAAGAGCTGTAATCATAACTTATGTTCAGTTGGATCCTGGAACAGTGATGAGCAGTAGAATTACAGCAGGACCAGACTGATGATTATTCATAGTTAGAAGAAAAAGAGGAAAATGCTGTCAAATTGTGTAAAACTTGAATTGTGATTTTTTGGAGCCATTTTGAATATAATCTCTGACCAGGATTGTGGCAAAACCATTATGGATAATGATGCTTCATAGATGGGCTCTGCTCTTATCATGTCACTCTGTGTAATAATGCTTTGTGTGTTTAAAAGAGTACTCCACCAATTTAGCATTGCACTTCTATAACATTGTTGGACACGATGGACTTTAAGATGAATCAATGTAGCAAAACCAGAGATCGTCTCTTTTCTATTCCACCTGGTGCCTGCATCATCCACAATGCAATTTGACCACCAACAACTAGGTTGGAGATTTTGGTGTGCATGCTAGTAGCGCCTAATGTAGCTTTGAGCTGCTAGCCTCAAGCAGGGATGAGGAGCAGGCTGAGGAGGTCTGGTAACCCTCACTTCTTTCTAAATCTATTCCCCAAGATTTGTTTCAGTAACTTCCTGAGTCTCCAATGGCTGTTTGACAACCGCCCAGAGCCAAGAAATAGCGTGGCACTCCCATTTCGTTTTTTGTATGGATCAAACAACTGAAATATAACGTGGTAATTACTGAGCTTTAAAGGTGCTCGTTGGTAGATTTGGTCACCTTTTATGAGAGCCAGGCTAACTGTTTCCAGTCTGTTTGCTAAGCTAAGCTAACAGACTGCTGGCTTTAACCATATATTGAACTGACAAAAATGAGAGTGGTATCCATCTTCTCATCTTAACTCTCTGCCTTATAAGCAAATTTTCCCAAAATTTCAAACTATTCCTTTAACTGATGAATCTCCCCCCTCTGAAACACAAACACCAGTGGCAAAAAAAAAACATAACACACAAACTTGCTCAGAGCTGTGCCATATATTATCTTTAAACTGCTCCAAGAAGTGTGTATTGGCCAACTGCTTGTATTGTACACAAAAACGCTACTGAATTTATACATTTAGACATTTAAGCTCCAAACATTCTCTGCAGCAGCTCCACTGATGATGAGTGGACAATGAGGATATTCCCAGATATTGCATCATTTGGTGTGTAATGTATGTTAATGCCTCCAGTGACCCACTTCTGACTGAGATACACCGATGGTAATGTGATGTTCGCTTTGAACATCACAGCCAGGAGGTACACAGCCAGACCATTCTCTGCAACAAGACAGCCAATCACAGGCCACAGATTCATGTAGAGGTTGGCCAGCAGGCATCAGTGTGTTTATTCAGAGACACAGCTGAAGGTTGCAGAATATGGATCGTTTATATTTTCTGTTCTAATTAGCTCTTTGGATTAGTGATGGAAATTATACTGTGTTTTGTGTTGAATATTCAAGTGTTTTATTCTTAATGGTGCTGAATGCAAATTTCCTACCACCGGCCTATTTTCTTTCTAAATCATTAGTTTCATCATTAGTATTGGGTTTGCAAATGTTTGAGATTTTCTACCCACAACATTAGAATTCAGTGTTGAATGAACTCAGCTTGAAGTATGGGATGTGTGTCTTGGGATCTAAGCCCCACCAAGGTGTCACAAGATGAATGTATCTGAATGTAAGATGATTTGTGTCTGGATTTAAGGAGCTGTTCACTGCTCACAGGACACACAACCTGAGTTGAGTGGTCACTAGTAGACAAGCAAAAAAACAAAACAACAAAAAGGCTAAAGGGAAAGACGCCCAACATAAAGTCAGCAACAAAAAAAAACTGTGGGTGTTCTTCTGGATATGAATTTGTGCCTGGATCAACATGTAATGGTGGCGTCACAGAGCAGCGCATCAAGTGACATGCGTCAAAAGCCACTGAAGTGTGTTGCCCTTAACAGTCTACAGCACGCAACTTAGACACAGCTCTTCTTGCTCACAATGATATTACATGTTTAGCAGGTATAATGTTTACTACATTCATCTTATTGTAGCCATTGTGTTACCATTTATTTTATTTAAGAAGGGACATTGCACGTTAATAAACATTTCATCTGCAGTCCCAGGCAGGTTGACAACAACAAAACATTAAAACAAAACATAAAAGAGCACAGAAGAACAGGCAAATAGTACAACAATGACATAATGACTATTATGACAGCGTCTTTGACTGTCCACTAACAACCTTTTTATAGACTTGGAGAACTTTGAGAGATGTGATGGTCTTTGCTCGGTGGGTAGTGTATGTGCTGCTTGACAAGAAAAGGCCTAAAGGTACTTTTTTTAATATGGTATTTTTACATTCTCATTTGGTAAGGGTTCTGGTAGAGTTTTGATTTTGTTGACTTAATTCATTGAGTGGAAAGGGGGCCAGACCATGAAGTATTTTATACTAATTATATTAAGTAAAATATCTGCAAATTTGATCATGTTTTCCCAGTTTAAGAAATCATATTTATTTAAAATTTTACAATGATGATATGAATTTGACTATTCATCCAGTTTACCTGGCGATGAGATGTATTTCAGTTTGAAAGGTTTGGGAACCACTGATGTTATGTCATGTAATAATGTTTTTGATGGTGTTGGCAGTGTATACATTAAATATAAAGTGAATGATCAAGGCCATAAAGCAAGTTAACAGACACCACACTTTGTATTACTACAACTATAAGCATAACCTACATGTGGCTCTGACTTCAGTTTCTGTAACAAAAAGGGTGCGTATCAGATGTCTTTGCTGTCATCTCTTCATTCTCGGAGATAAAAGGCTGAATATGGCATGTTTACAGTAATTTGTCAATCTTTTCCTGCTGTATTGAACTGAATACTGACTAAAGGAGCACTACTTTTAGCCTGAAATGTCAAGGTGCCTGAACAAAGCAAATAAACAGCGACAAGCTCACTTTCTCCCTGCTTTTTTCCTGCCTTTGCTCCTCCCTCACACCCTGAGTGAGTCCACTTCAGGTCGTATGAATTAGCAAAAAGCCTCGGTAAGCTTTACTCAGTGGGAACAATGTGCATTAGCTTCATCCCCCCCTCAGTCAGTGTTCCCTCAAAGCAAAAAGCAGTTGCTTTGCAGAAACCTAAAAAGGGACTCTTGGTAGGTAGATTGTCTTTTTCAAGCCATGAAATTTGGGGGAATATGTTGCTTTGTATTTAGAAATGTGGTTAACATCATGTTCAGCAAAAAGTGGGTAGGTGATTTGTGTCTGTATTTAAGGGGCTGTTCACCCTGAATACCAATAAAGCATTGTCCCTCATCTACCTTTAGTGGTATCCAGATGTTAAGGATTTTATTTTGTACAGGATTTTATTTTGTACAGGTTTTGAGATATGGTCAAAGGGAGGTCTATGGATTATTCAGAGTAACCAGATAACCATAATGTGTTTCTAGAAAGACAGGTTGTTGTTAAATTAGTTAAATGTCATTTTTTTCTGCTGTGAGCACCACAAACAACGTTTACTTACATTGTGGGGTGGAGGTAGCCTGGTTCCAGACCTCTAAATCACTGCCCACATCAGCGGGGTTATGACACCCACTTCCCATCATGGAAACTGCTAACATGAACATGTCAGGCTAAATGAATGAATGAGATTCTTTTTTTTTTTCTCTGTAATTTTGGGTGAACCATCCCTTTAAGGACGTGGATGTATGTTTTTTTGCTTCTCAGGGCACTGGGATTACAAGGCAGTTTTGTAGCCAATGAAGGCTTTAATAAAAACAAATATTTTACATTAAAATAAGCTATTTTGCTATTAATAAGATGCAACTCAGAAAGTTTGATGCTCTACAATGATGGGACACAAACAGAGCCTCTGCTTGCCCCTGCAAAATCACCTCTGCACCACCAACCCACCTGACCTGAACAACTCTATTCAGATCTTACAGAAAATATAGCCAAGGCCCTTAAGTGGTTTTACACACAAGCTAACAAAACTCTGCTCTATTTTGTTATCACACTTAACCACACATATATGCACAGCCCCCTTTCTTGAAACATTTCTCAGAAAAAAATGGCTGAAACAAAGATATCAGTAAAAGTGCACAGCAGCTTCATTGAGACCAAAATAAACACAATTGCTTCTTTAACTCCTTCTTCCTCCTTATAAGTAATTCAAAGGGTTGATTTTTTTTTTCTGCTTATCTACTCATGTGGTTGGCAGCAGAGTAGCAAACAGTATGCAAAAGCAAAGTACAAGTGAGTAGTGTGTCCCAAAGGACAGCCACAGTAGTAACCATAGTTTAACCTTATAGTTATTATAGTATATACTATATACATAGTAAATATAGTTGAAACTGAGATTGATTGTGCTATGGTTGGAATGAAGTCTTTGGTGTCTAAATACACCCGTGTTTGGCTAACTGGGTCAAGTCAGAAAGCAAGACAGAGCTGCTTTCAGTCAAGTTTCTAGAAATGGAGGCCTTGCAGAGCCCCGAATTAT